CAAAACAAAACAAAAAAGCCGCGATCGCCGGCGGCAATTGGGGAAAAAAAAAGCCACGATCGGCGGCGGCAGTTCAGCGGCAGGTCCTTCACTCCTAGAGGGAGTGAGGGACCAGCCGCCCCCGAATTGCCGCTAGTGCCGCCCCTCTCCCTTGGCCGCCCCTTTTTAAGCTGGTGCCTGGAGCCGGCCCTGTTTAGAATTTCTGAATCACACAAGGCCAAATTCATCGCGAATGCAGCTCCACTGCACCACTAGGTCTAGATTCATTCTCACTTGAGTGACAAATAAAGGAATTTCATCAGGGATGAATCTGGCCCAGGATCTCCAGATCTCAGGCTTTGTAATAGTTATAAAGGAACCTCTATAGATTTGGAGGTTTGGCCCGGATAAGTTAGGATAAGCATCTGTGCTGCCTATTGTAGGTCCCTGGAAGGCCCAACACACACAAATGTATTTATAGGCATTTCTAGAGCTCTCATCACTGTAATATCAGCAAATTAATAAATTCAGACACACAACACCTTTGTGAGGTTAGAAAGCATCCTTATCTCCAGTCTATAGATAGGGAAAGTGAAACACAATAAAGACACGGCCAAAATTTTCAAAGTGGTCTCTGATTTTGGGTGTCAATTCTTGGGTGCTGTCTTGAGAGACCCAAGGCCTGATTTTCAGAGGTGCTGGATATCAGGGCCAAGTTGTCTCCAGCTGGACGACGAACTTTTGACCTCATTCACTTGTCCAACAAAACACATAGGAAGAGATGGAAACAGACCAGCTATCCTATCTCCCTGTTCCACACCATAACCACAAGACCATTCTTGCTTCCTCCATAAGACCATACTTCTTTAGATGCTAAATTTGGATCATGACTGTTTACACTGATTTTTAATTCTCCTCTGAACTGGAGAGAAAAGACAAGTTAGAGGAAGCCGATAGCTATCTTTTTCTGGAATTTACGTCCCTGTATGTGAGCCCCCCATTGGCTCTCTGCAGGATACAATCAGGTATTGTCTACTGCAGTGCATCTGGACTCTACATTTCCTTTGTCAAGTCTCTGTATCTCTTGTCTTCTAGGCTGGACCTTGCCCAATCACTGGGGCTGACTCAGCTCCAGGTGAAGACTTGGTACCAGAACCGCAGGATGAAGTGGAAGAAAATGGTAAGAGATCAATAGGTTCCTAGCAAGGCCTCCAATCTAATGTCAGAGAGACGGATCCTGAGCTGGAGTAAATCTGGGTGTACATTTGGATGTCTTTGGCATAAATTCTGCCAATGAAGCTATGCTGATTTATACCAGCTGAGGATCTGGTCCAGAATTTTAATATTCAGATTGTTACTGATAACTGGTTGCCCGAAAGGTTCACATGGCTGAATGTAAGTTGGGTGAGATTGGCCATGGACAGCAATGTGGATTCAAAGCAAAGGGATGAAAGGGGGAGGAGCAGAAATTTCTCCCTTTTCATTTTTGGCAACCCTGGGATCTTCATTGCTAGTGGCAATTGGGGACCACAAAGAGACTTCAACTCAATGAAGCTAAATCCAGCTCTGATAGGCGATGTCCCTGCTTCTAACTTTTAAAGCTGTCTTTAACTCTGACCCTGCCTCCATCTCTTCCTGTACACCTGCTCCTGCTTCCCATGGTGTGCCCACATTTCTCTCCTGACCTTTCCCTTCATCTCCTTCATGCACTCCCAACTTCAAGCCTTTTTACATGCAGTTTCTCAGTTAGTGTATACCAAGCCTCCTCCCTGTCCTTCAAAAAAACATCTACTTGTCCAATACATCACTCCAGCTACAATAATGACAATACTCTGTGTCTGTCCTGTATTGTATTAGAGGAGAGGAAGGGCAGGAGCAGTCAGGTCCCATTAGTTCCATTCTGGTTCTGTCACTGACTCACTGCATGATCTTAGGCAAGTTGCCTCCTCTTTTGCCCCAGTTCCCCTGTGTGCAAAATGGAGATAATAGAGATGACAGAGCTATTTTGCTGACTTATCCTGGTAGGAAGACCAGATGGGTCTCATTAGTTCCAAAGCAGGAGTAAAAAGGATTGAGTCTCTAAGAGACAAGGGAGCTGACAGGAGGAGAAAAACTCACTTTGGAAACTCAGGCTAAGGTTTGATTGTTCCTCCTTAAGCTAAGAATGAAAAGAAAATCTCAGTAAGGGAGCTGAATTTTGGACAAGCCTGTGCGTGTGCTGTGTTGAGCCCTCCCCAGCCCAGTGAAAATGAGCAAATGGACCCTACATAAAGTCTGAGATATTAGTGTCTGCTGGATTTGTACTTGCCTCCATTTAAATTAATTAAGCCCCATTTAAGTCCCACAAGGCCTACGCATCACTTAAGTTCCACTTGAGTCTGGAGTACGAGGTAAGGGTGCCTAAACCGTGGGCCAGCTCTTTGAACAGGGATAGATTTTATCCTAATGTTAAAAGTACCATCAGGAACTTGGATGGCAGACAGTAGTGCAATTCAGAATGGTCCAAACACTTATTATCTTTGTTCCAGGTACTGAAAGGTGGGCAGGAAGCTCCGACAAAGCCCAAAGGCCGCCCAAAGAAAAACTCCATTCCCTCCTCAGAAGAGATCGAGGCAGAGGAAAAGATGAACAGCCAAGTTCAGAGGCAGATGCTGGAGACATCTCAGGCCCCAGAAGAGCCTGAATTGACAGAGGAGAAGCCTGAAGTCGCCTTGGAGACGGGAAAGTCTCCGGAGCACACATTGGAGCCCTCCCCAGAGGAGACGACGCCCTCGAGTTAAAAGAGGAAAAACAGAAGAAAAAAAAAAACAGAAAAAGGAAAGAGAAAAAACAAATTAAAAAAAAACCCAAAAACAAAAAGACCTTGTGTATAAGTCAGGAGCTTGTGCACTTTGTGTCATTGGGAATCAACCAGCGTGGGCTACCGTGGAACAAAGAAACCCAATGCATATGGTGACAGTCTTTCCCTTCCCAACAGCAAGTCCTCCCTGCAGATAACAAGGGGGCCTGAGTACTTTAGAGCTATCTTCCAGAAGAAACTGTGTGTCTAGAAACCTGAGATAGCCTGGAGAATCAGGAAAAGCCTCAGGGCTCCTTTCATGCCACGGAAGGTGGGTGTGTAGTGATATGACCATCTTGGAGGGTTCGGTGTTTCGCTTGACCTTATCTTTGCCTTTTAAGGTAGATATGGACAGAGTATTTAGTCCGGCCTCAAGGCAATGACTGCCAGGCAAAGGGGAACTTTTACAGCACGATTTCTCATTTAACCAGCACTTATTTCTGTTAGCCATGGGCCCAAGTGAAACAGTTTTTTGGAGGATGCACAGACCCAGGGTTTTGGTTCGGCCCATTATAAAGATAGGTGCAAGATTCAGACCCAGGTCAAGGTTCAGATTTCAGATCTTCCTGGGAGGATTTGAGGTGATCAGATCTGCGATGTGGAGCAATCCTTTATAAAGATAACGGCCATTGGGTAAAATCTAGATTGAGATCACGGTTTGGATTTCAAGCTCCCCCAGAACTGGGATTTTTGCTTCAGGCCCATTTCTAATTATTGTAGGGTTTGTATTTTTTTCCCCCAAGAAGCATTTAAATGTTTTCAGGGTTAGGGGAGAGCAATGGAGTTAAGAAGTGGCTGAAGAAAGTTCGCATTTGTTTTTAAGACCTGTGTGCCAAGAATAGCTATGCATCATGTTTCCTAAAGTCTTGTTGAGGGTGCATTTTGCCCGAAGGCTGCAAGAGATGTATTAAAATAACCTTTATTTTTTAATTAAAAATTAAATATATAAATAAGACTCCGTGTCATTTCTCTTTCAAATCCTAGACAGAGGATTTCTTCTGTGCATCACATTAGCACGGGCAGCGTCAGCACGGCTACGCTGTGCTGAGTATGTACACACTGGTTTGTATTCGGCCTGGCTAAGCTGTGCTGATGCTGATGCCACCCGTGCGATGGTGCCTATGCTACTATATATACTTCACTTGCTCTCAGTGAGCTAGGGTGTGTGTGTACAGGAACTGGGAATCACATCCCCAGCTTGTTGTGGAGATATAGCCTTAGTGTTGGGGGCCCATCTAAGTTAGAACAGCCTCGCCGGGTGGCCCAATATGGACACATCCTTCCTCCCCTCAGCCCTGCCTCCTATGACAGGGCTCACAAGGTGGTCCTCAGGGAGTGAGGGGGAAGCTTTACAGCTGTCTTCAAGTTCCTGTGCTGGGGGGATCCTCCATCAGACAGATATGACACTTAGGGCCCCTTTACACCTCTCCTGCCCTTTTATATGGCAGAAAAGGATAAGGATCTTACTTTTGATCTCCTAACTTGTAACCTTGTGTCTTAATCACAGATATCCTTCCTACTTTAGGGGATGTGCTCAAATTTTTGAACAGGTGCCCATTCCGCAGCATCACCAAACACTCTGAGATGCAAAATAAAAGGAATGAGTCTGAGGGTGGAAGGCCAGAAGTCGGGTATCTGTCCCATCAGCTAGAATGTAGGCACAATATGTCGTGATGGATCCCTGGAAGTTAAATCGAGACTGGGTGTTTTTCCAAACATATGCTCGAGTTCAACCACAACTAAAGACTCGTTCTGGTGTTCTTACTACATGGAAGTCCTATGACATGTGTTATGCAGGAGGTCAGACTAGATTATCACACTGGTCCCTTCTGGCCTTAAAAATCTAGTAGTCATAGCATCAACATTTTCTAAATGAAGTTTATTCAGATGTCTCAAATCCAATTGTTTTCTGTGAGGACTAGAATTAGGAGCATAATTTGCTGTGAATAGTTTACCTGATGAATTTCACCATACTATTTGCAAAGTGTTTGTAAATGTCTAGCAATTGGTCAAGTTTATTTGGATTTCAAAATCTTTTGCTTAATTATTTTTGATGTGCAAATCATTTCTGGAACTGATAAAAACAACTTCACAAAAATGTCAGTTATTTCCATTTTGCAAGGTTGGAAATAGAACAATTTTTCATTTTTTCAAAACTTTAAAAAAATTATTTTGGAAAATGCTGAGTTTCCAAAATTTTGAAATTTCATTGTCCATCCTTTTTTTTCTTTTCTGCCACTGAGTGCCATGCAATGACAAAATGTTCAGGGCATTTTGTTTTTAAAAATTTCCTTTCCCCAGTCTAACTTCTCAAAGGTGAGGATGTTTTTAAATATTACAGTGGAGAAAGGGAAATTGAAATAAAGAAAAAATGACACCCTCAAGAAAAAAAAAAGAGAGGGACAAAAATAGGAAGTTTCAAAAAATATTCAGTTTTCAAAATCTACAACAAAACTAAAACTTCAATTTAAAACAAAACAAAAATTGAAATTTCCTACTGAAAAATTAAGAGTGTTGAAAATGACATTCCCTGCACCCTTCTAAATTGTTTTTGACAAAACCCCATTTTTCAGGAGGAAAATCTTAATCCAGCTCTAATCACTGTGAATTATTTGCTGTGAGTATTCAATATTCAATTGCATTGGTTATTTTTAAATGGATCCATAAGTCACTCAGAAAGTTTGTTCTTTTGGATGAGTATCATTCTTTGCATCTAGCTTTCCAGTGTGATTTATATTTACGAGTTCAACGTTTACTCTACAAATATTCTGATATTCACTTAAAATCAGTCGCTTCCACTATCCTTCCTGCCGGCAAACTCAACCTCTAGAAAGTTCACAGAAAACAAACTCAAATCAAAAGAGGGAGAACATTGTCAAAGCCAGTAGTTTATCAACTTTAAACTACTTTTCCCTAAATTACTTACAGTATTTGCTCAACTGGTACAAACCCCATGAAAATTGGTGGGAGTCTTTCCATTGATTTCAATGGGCTTCGATCAGACCCTAAATCCGTGGGAAGTTCTGTATTTTATGTGCACCTAGAGGAATAACATACACCAATTCTGATGTGATGAGGCATAGAAGTCCCATTCAGAGATTGGCAGGCCAGAAATTAACCCTCTCCTTCTGGCTAGCTCACTTAGCTGCACCCAGCAGAAGTTGGCAGGGTAGCAGAGCTGGGCCAGCTGTGTGGAGATAATTGATCTTCCAGCACCTTAAAAGAACAGAGTGCTGTAGTGAGGTAAGGGCAGAATATGGTAGTGGGAGTCAAGAAGTGGTGGGATGGGGAGGTGGTTTGTTCGCCTTCTCTTCACTTAAACGTGATTGAACTGAGGCCTAGTCTACACTAACCCCCCAATTCAAACTAAGGTACGCAACTTCAGCTACGTGAATAACGTAGCTGAAGTCGACGTACCTTAGTTCGAATTTACCGCGGTCCAGACGCGGCAGGCAGGCTCCCCCATCGACTCTGCGTACTCCTCGCGCCGAGCAGGATTACCGGAGTCGACAGGGAGCACTTCTGGGTTCGATTTATCGCGTCCAGACAAGATGCGATAAATCGAACCCAGAAGTTCGATTGCCTGCCGCCGAACCAGCGCATAAGTATAGACAAGCCCTAAGCCACATGCTTCACTTTTGTTTTGAATTGGGCTGAAGAAGGCTTCAGCTTATGCCTTTACTTGGGCCGAGAGAAGCCTGTTAATGTTCAGCCCTTAAAAAGGCAGCATCGGCTTTACATTCACTGTTCTGTTCTACAAGAAAGCCCACCCCTGACTGCAGTGAGCTCTCAAGCCCTCTGGAAATCAGGCCACGCCTTTTCTTGCTGGAATGTGGAGTTAGGTGCCTAAAATCAGGCATTGATATTTGGAAGTGCTGTTCTATGGTAGGTGATATCTGCAGTCTCGGTCCAGAAAGTGTTAAACTGTGTCATGCCGGGGGGGGAGTAGGGGGAAGACAAGTGTCCGCCTGCCTGGGCTGGGAGGAAGACTCTCTCTAGGAATGGAAGTCTAGGCTCTGAGAAGGAGCAGGTTTAGGAGGGTGTGGATCTGGAATTTGGATAGATCTGGGTTTAGCCTCCCTGGATGGTCCAGAACTGTTGGGGCAATGCAAAATGTAGAATTAAAAGTACATGCTGTCCGCCAACAACAGGCACCTCTACAGTCCCATCAGTCGGAGAGACCTCCATCTTCCCCCCCCATCTGCCTTAGTACCGGTTGCTTTCTACTTCTGCAACTGCATTTCACCAGTTCTTCGGGGCACCGAAATGGTGCCTCCTGCTGAGCACTTAGCAACTCTGCTTTTGGAGACAAATAGTCAGAGATCCCACCTTCATCAACACCCAGTAAGAGAGGCAGTGTGGCCTACCGGATAGAGCATTGGACTGGCACTCAGGAGAGGTGGGCTCTATTCTTCATTCTGTCAGTGGCCTGCTGGGTAACAATGGTTAAGTCATTTCACCTCTCTGTACCTCAGTATCCCCATGTGCAAAATGGGGATAAGATAGCTTCCTTGAAAAGCGCTTTGAGATCTACTGATGAAAAGTGCTAGATAGGTGGTATAATTATTATTACAAACTTAATGTGCTAGTTGGACATGTCTCTCTGGCCACTGTGTTTCAGTCAGCTCCTCGGGCAGCTCCTGTCTCCTGCATTAATGATTGCATCATACTTTGTTTTGCAGCAGCATTCCGAAAACACCTTGCGGTCGAGCCTATTCTGAAGGTGCAGGCTGCCGTACTTGGCCCTGCAATACCAGTTAGTTCTGGAGAAAGCCAGGAGGCTCGTCATGTGGACGCCTCCAACAAGCCTGCACACAGATTAGTTGGATGCTTCATCTTTTATCATTAGAACAGCAACAAGAGGCTTTCCAAGCGTCCGCCTGCCCATCCCAGGTTCCCCCTGCAGACAGATCCATCACTAGAATTCTGAAAGGCAACTTTTCCCATCACTGGGGTCCCCTCTTCTGTCACTTACAGGGGTTCAAAGAGTCTGCTGCAGGGGTGGAGTACATTTCAAATGGGGCCTGATCAGAGATATTTGACCAGGGAGCAGAACACTGCCAATGTTCAGGGGTGTTCAGATTTTAGTTCCAATACAAAGTACGAACCATGCTGTGATGCTGGCATCAGAAATCCCCACAGGGATGTAAGGTCTTCACATCTGGGGTTCTGGCTGGGGTTCTCTTCTATATTATTGGAGCCACCTATTCAAAGCCAATCCTGCAAGGCACTGAGCTCTTCCTGCAAAACATTGAGTTCCCTCACGTCCCAGTCTGGATGATCAGGCCCTAAAACTCCCCTTTACGGAAAACATATAAATGCATATTTAGCTGCTAATTTAACTTTGTCAAACTGAGTTTTTGTGTGTTTGGTTTTTTTGGTTACACCTTTCTCTCCTCTTTTCCCTCCTTCCCACTCTTTTCTGGGGGCAAAATGGGGAAAAAAAAGGAAAACAAAGTTGGAATAGAAAAAAAAGAAAAAAAAGAGGGCCAATATTAACTGAGCAGAATAAAATCTGAAAAAAGTCAGCTTTATTTTAAAAAAATCCAAAGCTTTTTGTTTTTCCATTTCCCATTCTTTTTTGTCCAAACAAACAAACAAACAAACAAACCCCGAACAGTTTTTTTTTCTAAATGTGAAAAGTCATGAGAAAAACAAGCTCTTCTGTGAAATGGAGGATTTTGATGGCTTTACCTTATGTGCAACTATTTTCACTCAGATTTATATAGTTCTGCTGGATGGCATAGAGATCTCAGCACCAGCATACATATATGCTTGTATTTTGTAAAGCTCTTTGGGCAGAAAGAATCATGGTCAAGATTTTTAGAAGTGACTAGTGATTTTGGACATCTCAATTATTTTGGATGTTCAGCTTGAGGTATCTGAAATGGGCCGGAGGCCTGCTCTATATTACAAAGTTGGGTTAGTGTAAGTCACCTTGCATCATCCT